GATCGCGTGTTCTTTGATATTGTCTCCTACGGACATTTTTAAGACGGATCAAGAGCTGAAGATCGTCGTCTATTATAATTGAATCGAATTTAACCTCGCATTTTGGTACTGAGGCAGCTCTTGCTTCAACTATAGAAGTAGTCAGAGATTCAAGAGCATAATTAATTTCATCTTTGGTTTGCAAAGGAATGTTTGGATCGAAGTTATATTCCATAAATGTTCGATACTGCTCCCAATCAGCTCTATGGTAATTGAAAGTTGAACTGTTGGGATTACAATTTATTTCTTGGGATATTTCAAAAGTTACTGGAAGGTGATCAGAACCGAAGTCAGCATGGGTAACCAATTGGCTACAAAGTCGATATGAATCAGTTAAAACTAAATCAATAGTTGAGGGATTTCTTGCTGAAGAAAAGCATATTAGACTGTTTGGATATTGAATAGTGTAATAACCTGCAGAACAATCATCAAACAGAATATTACCATTGGAATTGCTTTGAGCATTATTCCATGAGCGTCGTTTTGCATTAAAATCACCAATAATGAAGAATTTAGACCTATGACGGGTAAGTTTCTGAAGGTCACCCTTAAGAAAATTCTTTTTCTGGCCTACGCATTGGAATGGCAAATAGGCAGCTATAAACGTAAGTTGTTCAAATTTTGTTTCAACAGAAACTCCCAAAGTTTCAAAAACTTTGGTTTCAAACGAAGAAAGAATTTTATGTTTGATTCGTCTATGAATAATGATGGCAACGCCACCACAGGGTCCATCAAGACGATCATTTCTATAAATCAAATAATTTGCGTCCTTCTTAACCTTAAGGTCAGGTTTAAGGAACGTTTCAGTTATAACGGCGTTATGAACTCTCAAAAAGTTAAATAGCTCGTCTTCATTATCTCTAAGAGATCGAGCATTCCAATTTACAATATTTAATGCTTTAAATCCATTACTGAATTTTGAAGTCATGACAATATTATTTGCAAATTTTACTCCAGTTTGAATAGCATCAAACATGGAGTTAGATTTAAGCATATCAGAAATCATGTCAATTAATGATTTCTGTAAAAATTCCATTTTAGGGGCAGTAATGCTTCCTAAGTCAAAATTGTCAACATTTCCGTTAGAATTACTTTGGTTAGTATTTTGATTTCTACCCGCTGCAATAGCAGCATAGGTAGCTCCATTAACTCGCTGAACATTGTTAGCAGCGAGGGGAGTAGGTACAGATGAAAAATTTGAAGCAGGGGTGATATTTGTACCTACGGGTACGAATGTAGAATTTGTTCCTCGCTGACCGTTGTTAACAGCAGAGGAATTTGTACCTGGTCGGAAACGTGGAGCGTTTCCTACCTGACGGTTAGAACGAGATTGTAGGATCGCTTTGCGAGTCTTACATTCCCAAAAATTGGATTTGTGGTTTTCACCACAATTTGAACATTTAAATTTCTTAGGATCTTCCTTCACAGGACAGTCGTCCTTTGCGTGAGAGGAATCACCACAATTCATGCATTTAGCTGGCATGTAGCAATTTTTAGTTCCGTGGCCCCAACCCTGGCACTTACGGCACTGAGTGAGGTTTTGGAAATTTCCTCCAGTCTTCCTGAAATGTTCCCACTTAACTCGGACATGGAGCATAAGGCTAGGTTTTTCTTAGGCCTTAAGGTTGTTTAGTTCACTAGACTTGAAGTGAACTAAATAAAAATCATTAGAAATCCCGTTGCGCGAATCGCCAGGACGGGATTTCATTTTCATTTTGATTACTTGGAGTGGCACAACTCCAAGTAATTTTGCCAGTTCATCTTTGATCTGATCCAGGGATTCACCACTGGGCAGTCCTTTCATGACAATCTTGAACACACGTTCAGTTTTGGTGTCGTAAGTAAAAAATTTGTGCTTCTTCTTAGTAAGATACTTGAGAAGACATTTAAATACGTCCAAGGTTTCAGCCAATACACGGCATTCACCCCGACGTCCAATTTGTAGAGAAAACTTAACATTCACGAAGTTCAAAAGTTCCATGCGAAGAGCATGGAAATCGGAAGTGGTTATCACAATAGGGGGAATCTTTTCCTTCTTGGCATTAAGCCGGGAAAGTTTACTAGAATTTTTCTTGGATGATGGATCATTCTCATCATCCATGAGCAAATCAAATTGATTACTCAAATTAATTTCATCAGAAGGGGGGTCAAGAGTTTGCCCCTTTCTTTTGCGTTTAGGCGCCATGGCGGCAGTAAATTTTTATCCAAATCGACTTCCAAGCAGATTACTATAAGAATCTGAAGGATCGAAGAGGAATTTTCCAAATCGATATCCAAGAAGGATTATCTCAGGTAGGGTCCAAACAAGGATCGAAGAGGAATAAGAGTTGAACAAGGTAGAAATTTTTTTACAGGTTGAGCACTGAAAAGTGCTGTTTAAATTTTTTGTAGCTTTAGGTAGTAGTAACACTTCCTTAAGCAAAAAGGAAATAGATCCGCACGGCAAGAGAGCACGATGCGGACTGGCGGAATTCTCATTAATTCTTTGCAATACTCCACATAATTTCCTTGCAACTAAAATTTATCACCGGAATTTCCTTGTAATTCTTCTCGGAATTCAAATGAAATTTGCCTCAATTATCCTCTATATTTAGAATTCAATTCTCATGGAATTTTTCTAGGAATTACCTTCAAACTTTCATAAGAAATCTTATGAAATGCTGCGTAAAATCTATTGAAACTATTTACAGAATTAAGCGGCGCCGGTGGTGTAGTGGTAAGCGTGGCCTCTCACCCCAGCAGGCCTGGGTTCAATCCCAGTCTGTGCCGCCGGTGGTAGGGTTCAGGTGTGGGAGCTGCCTCCCCGGCGTCGGTAGCATTGGTGCTTAGCACGGAAAACAAAGCAAGGAAAAAACATATTTTTAGAATATTCGTTTAATCCAATCCAAAATTCCCTTTGAATTACTCATTTTTAAATTACTCCTCAAAATTGTGCGTCATTCCAGTTCGACCTCTCTTCAAAGTTCTCCTGGAAGTTTTCTCGGATTTGATTGCTATCCTCTTTTTATCCCCAAATTGTTCATCAAAAATTCCCATGGACCGAATTGAATGAGAAAATTACTTTCATACACAGATAAAAAAAGTAGTGTAAATTTCCGTTACTATGATGCACATAAATGGAGCGTCATATATCATACAAGTTTAGATTAAAGAACGTGTAAATTTATGAGACATGTCATGCTATATTTCAAATATTGTGTGCAACTGTCCACTTTTAGTTGCAACATTTCTTGCAAGCTGCTAGTTTACATGAAAAGGAAGTTTACATGAATGAATGTTTGCATGCATGGATGTTTACATCGCCAGTAAAATTCAGAATTTTTTGGTGTGTAGATATGATAAATAAATATTTAAATAATGATTCACAAAACTCGTTATAATTTAGAGGAACAAATCTTTTCAATTCGATGCCTAGATATATCAAACGTTCAACAACACTTACATAATTTAACAGACACTGCATTTCACACATTAAAACTGTGTTTTGGACAGTTATCCAGTGATTTTTGTTTAAAAACCTGACAAATTATGCATTTTGTTTCTCTAACGGATTGTTTTGTATGGATAGCTGTCATAACGACTATTTAATAATTATTGTAGTACCGTTCGCCAAAATGGTGATGATGGATTTGTAATATTAGTATTAATTAAGGTGATTCCTTGTAGAGTGCACAGATGGTCGCCACGTAGGTTATACATGCACTTCCATTTCGAATTTTCATTTACACAAATCTCGGAAATCAGTGCCTTATTTCATTTGAAATTGCTACTTCATGTATGCTGCAGTGCAGCAAACGTGGAGTAACAATTCAAATGTTGCACGTGTCGTAGAAGCTGATATTTGTGCACTTGAAGTTTCGAAGTATTACAGATATAGAGGACTGAATTTAACATTTGGTTTAAAAAATAAATAACTTTTCAGCTTATTTGGAAGATGCTGTGAACCAGCAGTAAGTTTTCAAGCCAATGTCGGGGTCTCGTGAGCATTCCTGAAATTGCTGAAAATTACGATAGCATTAGATTGCAGGGTTGCTAGTATAAAAGGATGTAGATTATTCACGTATCGCTTAGTAAATTTTAAGGTAATATTTAGAACTGAAAAGTGCTGTTTAAATTTGTTGTATACACCAAAAAAAAAATGATGGTGATGTAAATATCCATGCATGCTAAACTTGAAGCATGTAAACTTCCTTTTCAGGTGAACTAGCAACTTGTAAAAAATATTGCTTACAAAAATGGATGGTTGCACACAATATTTAGAATATTTCATTAAATGACTCATAAATTTACACGATCTGTAATGTGAATTTGTATGATATGTGACGCTCCATTTATGTGCATCATAGTGACAGAAATTTACACTACTTTTTCGAACTGTGTAGCTTTAGGTATCAGTAGAGCTTCCTTCCGCAAAAAGCAAATAGTTCCACACGGCAAGAGAGCACAATACGGACTCCTGATTCCCATGTTATATATCTGTTCTCATGGATTCATTGAAATTCTCCCGAAAATTTGTTTGGAATTCTCCATGTATTCTACTTAAAATTTCTTGAAGTTTTTGATATTTTCCTTACAATGCCTTTGGAATCAAAATTGGTGATTCACAGAAGTGATCATTGTTTAACCTAAAGCATTTTCCCAAAAACGCAAGTCCAGTCGTCTGTGCAAATAAATTAAATTCCTTTCCTAACAGTCCTACGGGGCGGGGCGGGAATTTTGTGAACATCGGTCACAATTTGAAACAGTCACCAAAATGGCTAGTATTAAAAATTGTTCACCAATCATTTTGGCGCCTCTCGCCCAAGACGTGAGTGACTGTGCTAATGCCTGTTGGAAGTGCTTAGTGGCTGGAGCATTACCGTATGCTATCCAAATCACTAACTAACCCAGCAAGCAAAGCAGTGCGGCTGTTGTGGTAGATAAGTGCGCACGAGCTAGTAGTGCCTCTCTTGGCTGGCGTCCGCTCGCTAGTCTACATATGACCACCCGCCGATAAAGTTGTCCGCTCGAGCTAAACTTGCAAAGTGTGCTGCTTACACTGTTTGGTGCAAATGGGGTAAATGGTTTTATCGTGGTGCTTATTGAAATCGCTTGTTGCGTCGAAGACAGAAATCAATTGCAGAAGTCAACAAAAGATTCAAGCACCTTAGGTGCCAATTGGGAGTGTCCGCGGTTTCGGATTCGGGAAATTCGTTTCCCATTTATGATCATGTAAACATTTACGGCTTGTGGCGAGGAACAAATAGTGTTGATAAATAAATATATCCTACATCCGATTTGCCTGTTTGGAGAAGTGGTCATTGCCGGGCAGGTGTTTTATACATTAGCGAAATAAGGAATGAACCAAGCTAGGTCTTTGGTTGGTTTCTATGATTTGGGCAGAGCTCAATTGTGAAGTGACTTTCGATCGAAGCTATCCGAATAATCGTGTGGTGATTTACTCGCGCAATGCCAAAGATACGGGCTGGTGGGTTCTTATCAGTTGCGCACAGCTTAGTCACAGTTGTGGTTCTTGTTGTTGCTGCTGCTGCTGGAGGAACTGATAGCGCTGGGCAGCTGCCTTGCGAATTTCGTGATTCAGTGAACATAACTAGCGGAGTGCGCGATACCCTGGGGAATATCCTTTACAGTAACATTAAGTACACGCCAGAGCATTATGCGGTGATAAACTACGATTATGTTGAGTATGACGTCAGAATTAGTGTTCCGAACTACTATCGAGGCTGCGTATGCCAAGTGACGAACTGTGTTAGATTATGTTGCCCAGTGGGCCAGTGGTTCGTCAGTCGTGAGGAAAGTGTCACCACCTGCGTCGATGGTAATAGTCTTTTGTCGCCTGCTTTGTTGACGAATGTAACGACTGCGAATGGCGTTCGATTGGTGAACTTAGTTGAGGATCAAATATTTGGATTTGTCCATCAGAAACCATGCCCGGCGCTGCTTATCGAGGATGCTTCCCAGTGGGCGTTGGATGACGTAAGTTTCAGTCGTGCATACGGGCATGTCAACGGAAAATGGAGGTGATTATTCACTTGTTCGTTCATCCTCAGGCTGGAGCTATTCTATTGATGGATATGGTCGTACCCCAGGAGGAGTACTGCCTGGCGGTGGGTGATGACACGGGTTTAGTTGCAGCTTACATGTGCCCGTTGCCGCTGGAAGAAGGAAGCATCACATATTCTATTGGTAGGTGGACGATGCTTGATTTTTTTCGGCTAATTAAAACTGATGGCGCCATAGTTGATGGGAACATATTTGACATATACCTATATAGACAATCTCAAGAGTAGATGAACTGTACGTTACCGATTTGATCAATGTGGTTAAAATATGAATTATACAGAGTGTAGTATTAACGGAAGGGCGATGGTGGGCTGAAGCCAGGGTTCCCAATTTGGAGGAAGCCCCCGGCTTAGAGATATCAATCATATCCTTCTCAACTTAGCGGCGCCGGTAGTGTAGGGGTAGGCGTGATTACCTCTCAACCCAGCAGGCCTGGGTTCAATCTCAGTCGGCATGTTCTGATGCATAACATCTCTGAACACGCCTTCCTTAGGAAGGGAAGTAAAGCCGTTGGTCCCCGGTTTATGCGTTGATGGGTCGATAGGTAGGGTCCAGGTGTGGGAGCTGCCTCCCTGGCGTCGGAAGCATTGGTGCTCAGCATGGAAAACAAGATCGACGGAAAACAAATCAAGGAAAAAAAAAATTAAAGTGTTGTGTCCTAGACACGACCGCAGTATGACGTAGAACCAGAGATGCCAGATTTTTTGACGTAGGACTACGTCTTTGATTTCTATATGGGGGTACACTTTGTAAAAACCGAAAATGGAACATATAACAAATTAAGAAAGATTTCGAACGTTAATAACTGAGCTGCCCCTGGTCCAATTTCACTCATTTTATCACCAATCGATCAGAAATATGGCTACGCATCGATAGCAATGCTTTCGAATGTTGAATTTTAACAAGGAACTATTGAAAAACTGGTAAATGTCCAGCATTGTCCAAAAGCGTCGAATTACTTAACAAATCCACCAATTACCTACATGCATATGCTGCTTCCCCAGCACAGTCGTCAGAGAGTAGTAAGTAGACGAAACAAGTCGAAATGGCATTCGCCTCCGATCCTCGGGCGCGTGCGAATAGGGAGGATGGAATTGCGTAATATTGTGCACGCTCATCGCCATACTCAGAACCACACGCTCCCAACGACCACACCACTGAGTGGTGGTGTTCGGTCGTTGAAATTAGTAGCAGCAGTAGCAGAGCTTTCGGCGTGTGATGTTGAAAATTGTTCTCCAGTCACAACAACGAGCGAGCTGCAGAGCCCACATAAGCAACCATCAAAGGAGGAAGAAGCTGCACCGCTATGCTATGGATCGAAATCAGTAGCTCTTCGTGAGTCGCTGCGGGTCGGTCATCTATGCCAAGCGTGTCACCCTCGCTCCAAACGACATACAGCTCGACAGCCTCATCCGTGTTGAACACCCAGCTCAGCATTACTCAACCATCACTACAAAACGGTCCTTTTCAGGACCACCATAAATTTGTTAAGAGTATTATTTGGACATTTGTCAAGGTCATCAGTTCCCGCAAGCAGCTTCTAGCTATCAAGGCTCAACCTGGTCTCTATAGAAGGTGTGGAATTGTAGGCCCGAATGTATTGGTGAGATTAATCATCGTCCGACCATTTTCCAGAACACGCTGGTAGGAAGTGTTAAAAATCCATACATAATTGGAGGGAAGTGGGAATAATTCGCTTTGGGTGTATATTCAGTCCCCAGAAAGCCAATTAAATCAAATTTGTGAAAAAATTAGCTCTCACGAGTTCAATCTCTCGAAGTCCCTCCTTTTTTACATATTCTGCACAAACGATACTTCCTCCCCGCCCCATTCATATAATTCGGAAGGAAATCCTGTGAGGGGTGAATTAAATACACTTTAATACCAAAATGCACAAAACTTAAAAATTCATAAATAACAAGAAATTCAAAATACACCTTTTAAAGTCGGGTAGATGAATCGAAAATACTCAAGTTGACAGTCCCTTGGATTTTCTTCATCAACTTTCTCTTTGAAATACATACTACAAATTTGATACGCTTACAAATAAAAAACGGAAAGAGTTAAGATAATTGATTATTGATCAATTAAAAGAACTAAATGTTCACATTTGTTCCGTCCACTAGCGGTCCTACGTCAAGCTTCCGTTCGTGCCCCTAGGCACAGACCCTTCTACTTTTTCTATGCAATTCCGTAGACTTATTCAAATCTACGGATTTCTATGGATTTCTTTTTTAGTCGAAGTTGTTTTTTTAGTTCTAAGGTTTTATTTTACGTTAAATGATAAATCGATGAAAGAACTTTTGAAAAATTACTAGGGACAGCCCTCTGGGATTGTACGCAATGGTAACGTTAGACTACGTGGTCTTATATAATAAATGTTATTTGTTAACTGCAGCAGGAATTGTGTTTTGTGAAGGAATAGGAATTTGAGCGAGGTTCTCTAAAAAAAAACTTTTGATATAAATTTTAGTTGGGCATGTTCAGAAATTTAACTCTTTTGGAAAATCATGGTGGCCCTGAAAAGGGCCGATGGTGTACAGGCATGAATACCATAATACTGTTGCACCTGTAGTTTTTGGCATACTTTCACTGATTGCTTTCCGGAGATCCTATGGCTAAACAACATAGCAAGATGTGCGCGTGAGGACTTCCACGGTGCTGAAATTCAATCGTGTCAACCAGCTTGTTGAATAACACCCAGCACGTGACTGTATCATTATTCATCAGAGTTGCTCTTTGTAGTGCAGTCGATTCTTGGATAGAATCTGTTAAGTCATTGCCATTGTGTCCTTCTGACAATCGATGTAGGAGATTCAACAAGTGGGGCCACTTCATCTCATTTGCACTGAGTGTGAGAAACATCGTAGGCTTTCCCAATTAATTATATGACTTGAGTAGTAGCTATACTGAAGATCCGAGAGATGTCGCCCCTTCAGTGGTAAATAGGAAAATCATTTTTGCAGTATGGAGAATATCAGAAAATCCACGTTTTCTGACTAAATATACTTTCACAGAAGGAAACAAATAAACGAGTGTTTACCTAATCACCATAGTAATGTACTCGTGCAATTTTCATGCATCTAAAACTGCCCATAAAGACGATAATGAATAAAAACTGAAAATTTTCATGTATTTCCAAATGGTTTCCTACCATTCTCATACATTCGAAAGTGACTGGCCCTCTGGATGTGGATGATGTCAAAGACAACAAAACATGATTAATTGTCGCATTATGGTGAACAAATTTCTCTTCCTTTGTTGCCAATACTGTACTGAATTCGGTATTGATTTGAGGAAGGATAGATTTCGCTCAATGCACTGCTCCATGAATAAGGCGGTCCTTAAGGGTGACACGTGTGATATTTACGGTCCCCGGGAACTTAAAAATGCATTGCAAGCCTTCGGAAACTCTAAGGCGAAGAACTTTCATTGTCATTTACAACATATGTTGTGGTTTGGCCACACGCCGGTCTTGACGACGAGTTTCACTGGATGCAATCATGAGATATGTCACGCCGTGCTCGTCATATATTAATGACAGAGGAACCCTGTTTTGCGCGGGATTGATTTCCAGACATTTGTCCTCAATCCAAAGGAGCGTTTCCTGTTTCCCAAGCAGCAATTCTGTCTCATTATCCACGGCAATGGTTTCCAGCTCAATTTGAGGATCCACTGCAGGGGTTTCAAGACCATCTTCGGCGATCTGATCAATTGTGATCCCGTAGCGGTGGTATAGTGGTGTCGTAATCTAATAAGAAAGCCACGCTTTAACCGTAGTTTCCTTTTGAAGCCAGACAAGTACGACGACTTATGGATTACGTGATTTTTGTTGAACACGTTGAAGGCCTGATCATCATCAAGCTGACGGGGAAGAGAGCGTCGTCTCTCTTACATAACGCAAACGGTTGAACAACATTCGAGCAAAAATAAAATTTTCAAATAACTATCATATGACATATGTGATTTCGTTCTAATTCCTCAATTTGGTGTAAATTAAACCATTTCTGATCCGACCATAATAACTAGGACATCGTTGCTTGTTATATTCAGAATTCACACAAGCAAAACATTAGCAGCTGTTATTATGAGAAAAACTAAAATACATACATTCGTGACGGTCTTCGGCGACAGTGTCGTATGACAGAGCCTGTCATATGACATTTTAGTTTGGTACTGTAATTTGAAAGCTTGTTTTGCAAGTGTCGGAAGCAAAGGCAGTTGATTATCACAGAAAATGTGTCGACTACGGTGACCGCTTACAAGACTGGTCTCGACACGACTTTTATTCGCCTTCACACGGCACCGTCGAAAACATTTCTCTTCAAGCAAAGATTGACAGTATATTATGGGAACTTTCGGCGGAGTGAAGAGATGCCATGTTTCACACACAGTCTGACGTTTGCTTACGGGATATTTCATAGGAGGGAAGAACTACAGAGTCGCCGTCAACGCCAAATTATTCCATCAAAAAGCGGATAAGTGAGCAAGAAAACGGTTGACAAGTTGCAGGGGTATATTTTACTTTATGCTTCTTTCCCTTCAGAATCAGATTATACTCTAGATTGTAAAATTCGATTCTGAAGGAAGACGTACACTGAAGAAAAAAATCCGTAGAAACTGTACCGAATTCCGTAGATTTTGCCTACGGATCCGTATTTCCGCAAAAAATTGTAAAATCCGTAGATCTATGGAGATTTCCGTAGCTCTGGCATCTCTGCGTAGAACTACGCAAAATTGATGAACACTCCCGAGCATAAGCTTAAGGACACCCCCAAAAAACATGACAAATTTGTTATGTTCATATCTCTGCCATGATACGTCCAATTTTCGTTCGCTTTAGATCATATGAAAGGTATTGAATGGAATTTTTCTCGTAGGTAAATGGTTTAATATAATTTTCAAATTTTGTGTGCTAAAAGTTCACCCAAAATTACAATATTTTTTCAAAATTTACTCTGAAGAATCGTGACTGATTTTCTCAGAATTTTCAAATAAAAGTAGTAGTAGAACACTTAGGGATCGTCCATTCATTATGTCACACTTTCAGGGGGAGGGGGGGGGGGTTTTGGAAACTGTGACGAGCCTTACAAAAAACAATTAAGGTCCATATACAAAATGTA